TAATCATAATTTCAAGAAGAAAGGATAAAGAGACTTTGTAGATATTCAAAGTTATTGTGTAGCAAACGCCACCTTCGCCACCTGTAGAGTACGGTGCTGCTCGATAAAGTGCAAATGTTTTGCAACTAACCACATAAACTAGATAATACACTGTTTGAAACAATGTTGGGGGCGGACGCATCGTTATTTAGGCAGATTTATATTTTGACTTTATTTCGTCCCTGCTGGGAGTTATGCCAGCTCAACTTAGTGTTATAGACGCACATAAAACTGATGCAAAATTTGAAATTTTCGCTCCACAGTGCTCAAAGGGTTTCAACCGAAGTAACAAATCTTGGCTATATTCAAAATTTAAAAAGGTTTTATTGCAGCTGCAACCATTACCTACAGCCAGGCATGGAAAATCATTTGCATTCATTTCGTGCATTCATTTACATTCATTTGCCTCTAACTTTTTTCATCAACAAAAATCCTCAAAATGATGTATAGAACTTTTGTAGGTTTTGCTATTACCTACAACTTTTGTCAACAACTTAAGTCTCTATCTTTTATGCATGACGAACCAGAGCGAACAGAAGCCACTACTGATTTTAAGTGAATGTATTTTACATTCACTGAAAAACAGTAACAAGTTCTGCCCGCTCTAATTCGTGAGGCATAAGAGATACAGATTTGAGTTATGAGCAAAAGTTGTAGCTAATAACAAAACCAACTAAAGCTCCAAACAACATTTTGCGGAATGCTGTTGATGAAAAAAGTTAGAAGCAAATGAATGTAAATGAATGCATGAAATGAATGTAAATGATTTTCCATGCCTGCACAGCCTTATGACGCTCATATACAATGCAAGTCATAGAACATTCTTATAGCTATCTACAAAACCCCTATAAAGCTAATAAAAAAAAACCAACTGATGCTTATGATATTTTCGGTTATGAAAGGTTTTATGATTGCCTTGAAGTATAAAAAAGCCATATGAATTGCCCTTATAAAACCCAAAAATTAATCCTTTTATTGCTATATAAGTAAGCGCAATAAAACTAGTTGGCCATAAAACAGTTATTTAAAAACAATTATAAGCATTCAGTTGCAACTTGTCAGAAGTGTAAATGGGCGGTTTATTTTTACAACATAGAAAGAATCAAAACTTTCCGGTACTTCCAAGCGGAGCGCAAAGAAAATCAACAAAAATTTTAGCATGAGCCCGTTTATTTGCCACACAGCAAAAAAAAATGTAATATCGATCAATGTAATTCAAGCTGATTTATGAAATAATGATGTAAGAGCAAAAAACAGATACAATATTACATCAATGGATGTAATTTTGTTCGCAAAATCGATGTACATCGTACAACCATAGAGGTAATTCTAAGACAAGTAGGTCCCGAAGAAATGTGCTCAACTTTTGGCTCAGCTCTGGTACTATCTTCGGTCCCAAGCTAGTCGAATCACCCCTCGAAACATAGGAAAATCCAATAACCCCTCATTTTATCTGTCAAACTTTCATAGCAAATCAAAACAAACATAGTGTGGTGCTAGAATTTTGACTGGAGTGGTATACGTTAATCGATTTGCTTGGGACCAATAGGCTAGTCAAGTAGTGAGCCAATTTAAAATCGTTAGTTTCGTATTGATTGTTGGTACAACGTTATATTACACAACCGATGGATTTACCTAGTTGCAGCAGTTTGGATGTAATATTCAAAAACTTTTTTTTTTGTGTACAGTCAGCCGAAAACCTTCGTGAATAACTTCAACCAAGAAAAAAAAAACCGCTGCATTTTCTGCCGATGTCACAAAGGAAGCTGTAAATGGAGCTTCGAATGGACACATTGCTACACCAAAAAAAAACTCATGAAGAGGAAATATATAATTATCAGGAGTCGGAGGATGATACCTATGCCAACTTGCGTCTCTTATCAGATTTACAGTCGTGGATGGTCACAACAATTCAACAATCAGCATTGAATATTTTCTTTCCTTTTCTTTCCTTTTTTATGGGGTGACACTGTTCAATCTTGGTCGAAATACATGGAATGGTGACAGTTCTATGACAAAAAAGTTGAAATCACGCATAACTTTTCATAAAGTTTCATGTACCATTCAAAACTTTTCCAAATGTTTGTAAAATTCATCGGTTACACCCGTAGAATAGGAATATACGTTTATCCTCAAATAAAAAAAAAATGAATTGCTCTTGTAAAAAGAAAATAGTGCTCGAAATAAAATCGAAAATGGCCTTGGAATAAAATCCAAGAAATTTCAATAAAATAATGGCTTAATTAGAAATCCGAACTGATTTCCAGTGTGCATTGGTATGAATTTATTTATTGAGATCTATTTTCTGTAAAATTAAGATGATTCCATCAAATTAATTTGATTTATAAAACAATCTTTTTTGTTAACTTGAATATTTTGACGCACATTTATTCAACGCTCATGTTATCCCAATATACACGATAAAATTTCAAGCGCATATGTTTTGGAACTTCTAAAAAGTCATATATTTTCTTTAAGATTTTCACTAATGTCGCCATGAAACAAAATTGATTGCATCAACAACAAGCTAATTTATGGCGGTTGCTTTGATGCAATAAAAATTAAATTGGATTTATAGCTGATTTTCACCAAAGCGTAATAAAACTGGATACTTGGATACAATATTACTCTTATTCCCGATCTTTTTTTTTCAAAAAATCAAATTTTTTTTTTTCACGTTTTTTTGTACTTTAGACTATATACTTTCATCCCCCCAAGCCGTTTTCCGATCAGCGAATTCGGTGTCCAGGCATAGCTGACTAATGGTAAGAACCCCCAAATGGTTTTAACTAAAGTCAAAACTTTAAACGCGTTTTTCTCGAAACCACATTTTTTTTATCGGGCGAAGATTTTTCTCAGAAACTATAAGAGATATTGACTTGAATCTTTGCGCATTTTGTTCCTTATTAAATTCTTTGGAGCTTCTCCCACTTTCAGCCAAAAATATTAACATTTAACATTGTTTGAAGCACCTTAAAGCTGCAAAAAAGCGGGCTAAAAATCGCCTGTTTTTTCATATGGCCGCCATTTTGTTAATTTGCAAGATTTTTTGCTGCCAACGGGAGAAGCTCCAGAGAATCTTATGCAGATTATTAATTTCATCACGAAATCTGTTTCAGATGAAGCCGTTCCAGAGAAAAGTCTTCGCCCGTCCAGGCGTTTGCGGCGAACAGGGGTCTGTTTGCCGCCATTTTGTGACGTCAATAATGTCTTTTTTTATGTCGAAAAAAATTTATTTGTAAACTTTAATGTTCAATAAACAAGAATCCCAAAGAGTTAGGCGCATTACTATTAATTTTCCTTGAAAAAAAATTAATTGAAAAACAGGCCGAAAAAAGGCAAAAGATTGGGAATACCCCCTTAAAGAGGCTATGAGAACCTTTTGTAGAGTATGGGGCTTTCTTGCAAAAGGTTTAAAGACAGCTTTATTGTGATTCTCAAGCATGCTTTATAAACCTTATCAAGAGTGGTCCACTAAGCTGGAAGTTAGCAAAAGGTTGTGCTGGAGCTATTAATTGTATTGGTGATTTTATAAAATTGATCTCAACAACCACTAATAGAGTGCAATAAAACAAGAAATGCTACGTGGGTTACGTGCCAAAAAGGATAAAATTATCATTAATACAGTGGATGAACTGACATTACGCTGCTTTTACTGCATTTGTTTATTGTTATGGCTATAAAAATTACGTGAGATTTTCAACATGAATGAAGTACATCTTCTTGGATGTAATATTAAAATTAATTTTTAGCTGTGCACTGTATTACCATGGTCATCTGAGACGAGGCTCACGTATAAAATCGCTGTACTACCAACTAAGAAACATTTAAATTGACCGTTAAAATCTATATCGATGAACATTTTAAGAGTCTGCTTGATTGTGATCATACCTTCACTATTGCAACTTCGCGTAATCCATTAAAGTACTTGCATATTTGATCTAACTGCAATCACTCTCTCATACTCGAAATGTGCAACGACCAAATTGGCACAACGACGCCTTATACGCTCTTTGACCAAAGCGAAGGGAGTGTCTAATCTACACTTTACTCCAAATCATGTTAGAATCTTCGATTCATTCTGGTTCAGTTTAGTTATATGCCTTCTGGAACAACTGAATGTTGCTGGTATTTTTCGACTCAAACGCAAAATTGAGACTACAATCACATTATTTAATTAGCATGCTGAACCTGTTAAACGCGTACCCCAAAAACATTAATTGTTTACCGAATAGGTGCCAACAGCATTAAATTCAACAATTAACCTGATAATCCTCGCCTTTGCATCATATAAAATGCGATGATAAACGCTGAGATGCCTAACAGCATCAATATCCCTTCAATAAAGAGCCATGTTGGATTTCGTGCTGAATCAGTTACCTTCGTCTCACCTAAAAATAATACAATGTAGGTATGCCTGGTTAGCGGTACGTCAAACTGGGATTGAAGGCTTTGCGGTCGGATCATTGTGAGCGTTCTTTTTGAAACAGATTCGACGTGCATTCGAAAACGATGCAGGTTAACGTTTGTTTGCATTTATCGAAATTTCACCCTGATTGCGGTGTGTTGCTTGTACAATTGGCAGGTACACAAGTGCAGCTCAATCCTCGAAAGCTTAGGTTATAATTGAGCTTACGCAGCGGGCGATCCTACGCAGCCATTTGCAAATAAGAATCATCATCTCATGTCTAACGATACGGTTGCTTGCGAACTTGATTGAATTATTAATCAATTTTGCGCACCGGAGGCTCCCTAGCCTAGACCAATTTCACACCGAGGAGAAGCCTTCCTGCAACCTGCATGATTCATTGTGTGCAGTAGAAGGTGGTGATACATATGATCCAAAGTCAACATGTTGATGAATTTATATCCCTTTGCTCTTTTCTTTCCCCTTCTGGCTGGCTCCACGGCCAACACGGAACCAACAACACCACCCTGGATACGGACGATATTGATTGCAGTAAATCTAACCACCCAGGGACTGAACGGATTAGTCGATGACATATTAGCACTGCTGCCGCAGGACGAGATAATCCTGCTATTCTTCGATAAGCTCGAGACCAGCAATGATTTCTCGTACTTTTTCGAGCAGATCGGCAGTGGGGAGTTTGAGAGTGTGCTCAGCATGCTGCAGGTAAGAGAGTCTAGTACGACGTACGCCGGCACAGAATCATAGGCTGCAGCATTGTTAGTGATGGGCCACGGGGGGGGAGGCTGGATTAGCAAAGTGAAATTGATTCTGAAAAGTTTTTCGTTTTTCCCGCTAAACTGATTGCATGCTGCGAACTGGTGTGTATCTAGCTGTGTTTTTTTCCTGTGTCGTTACAGAGCTCGCAACAGCTGAGGATCCTTCTGTGGAGATTGCAGCGGCATGGTTTCGATATCCCCGGATGGGTACAGATGATACAGCGATACTTTAGCTTTAGTAGTTTTTAGTGTTCGGGCTCAATAAAGTGAGAGAGAGTGAAATGTAGTTGGTGCACATTACTATTTTTTTGCGAAAGAATTATGAGTTGTAAGATGAAACTTGAGGGTCTGGAACAGGGTCTAGCTGTAAATTAGAAAGTCAAGAACAGGGTTTAGAAGATTATTCAAAATATTTGAAACTATGACTGGGCACCAGAGTCGAGGATCAGAAATTTATTATTAAGAAGTTTGGAGAAAATTAATGATGATAATGCTGATAATGATAATGCTGCACTCCAGGGCCCCGTAAATCTGATCCTGGGCATTGCTTTTATCACTATTTAAATATTTATTGAAGATCTCCGTCGAACGATGCTTGATTTTGTGTTGTGTTGGATACAAATGTTGTTTTTTTTTGCTGCGTCGTTTTCGTTCTAGTGAAAATGTTATAAATTTACAATTTCATTTTTTTTTAAAGTGTTAATTTGAATGTACAGAAGTGATGTTGAAAAGTGCATTCAGTGAAAATTTTCAAATTCCTACCCGTTGCATGTGGTGCCGACTGTTCTAACCTACGCAGAGCTACGCTCAGCTAAGTTTATTTACCTTTTCGTTCCTCTGTCCTCGATAGGAAATATCCATCTAATTCAAGACGTTCATTTTAAAACTTACTAAATACGCGTCAATCAAGTATTGCACTACTTGATTGAAATTTTCAGTGCATTTTCAATGGTGTATATTTGCATCGATAATGTATTGGAGCGGGGCTTATCATGTGTGAAAATAGCTTCGGAATGCTTGCGTTCTTGGAATGGCTGTCACCTTCTAACTCCCGGGTTCAAGCTTCTTTGCATTCATAAGAAATGATTGCAGGCAGATTTTATCCATAATACCACTGCCAGACAGTGGGAGTTAGGCCAAGGGCGAATCTTCATTCTAATCCACGATTCCACATACTATTAATAACCTTTTACACATCAGAATGTTTAGGATCAACAAACATTTTCAGGCGCAAAAAAGCAACGGGATCGAGCTGGTAAAGTTTCTTAATTCCAAAATCTGAAGACTGTTTTGAATAATATATTTAGGTAATGGGCAGCAACAACGGTCAGATAAACTACTTACAGCTTATATTTATTAAATGCTTGATATAACGATTGCCAAGCAACGCCGGCTGGGCGTATCCTATGACTTAAGGCCCAAGCGCAATGACGGCGGAAGCGGAACGGCAACGGCAGCGGAAAAGCCCGATCTGAGTAAGCCTACTTGTCGGATTGAAAACTAATTAGATCCAAATCGACTTCGGTTAGGCATCTTGATGTCATTAGTGACAACTGTCAAACTTTCCGTTTCCGTTCCGCTTCCGGCCACATTGCAATTGGGCCTTTACACTCCCTACTTACAAAAATCCACCCTTCCCGTGGCACTTATGAGGGGTCGTAGAGTTCTCTGCATCTCTCTTAAGTAAGTGTCGGACTAACATTCCTCCCCTTTCCCCAGCAGATGCAAGGACGACGTGGCCAGGACAGCTCTGATCTGTTGGAGGGAGACACATCCTTTATCTAAGAGGTAGTAATTAATCACAAATTACTATCTAACAGCAACGGATGAAGGTGGGTCTCCTTCTTAACAACAGTTTGGAGGTCGTACCACCTACGACATTGTGCAATCTTGATTATATTATGCTATGCTATGTTGGATACAAATTTTGTATCCAAATCAAGCTTCACACTTTTCATTGCTACCAGAGTTACATTTTCCTCGTGTGTGCAAAAATGTGCTGCCGAGACTCTCAACAAACCGTCTCCCGTCGCAACGAAAACAACATGTGACGAGCGAGAAAGAGACACGCGAGAATAAGATACGAGCGAGAAACAAATGCGACACCTAAAAATCCTTGCGTGCGCGAGGCACGCGCTGATCTCATGTGCCTCATCTCATGTGCTACGATTAATGCTAGAACTGTAGAGCTCGAAGTTCTGGAAGGTGTAGGTAAGAAAAATACAGGCTGTTGAAACTTGGTTGCTTTGAGCGACATTTCATTTGCGTTTGCACAAACCATTTCTATTTTAGAGGAAAGGTAGCATATATTTGCAGTGCTTAAATTCTTGTAAATTCTCTAATAGCAAAAGCTATTAATTTGCCGGTCAATTAGAATATTCTTCGTTTATTTTTTTTTCCGGTTCAACACTTAACTGCACTTGCATGACTAACATCTTTTGACACGTTATTTTCAAAATATAGAATGGACAAAAATTTTACAAAAAGTGTATCGGTATTGTTTAGCACGGGGATTTACCCGTTGCAAGACGTTCACACATTTTCAACGTAATTTAACCATTCATCGGCAACACAATATATTGTTAGATGGGATGTTTAAAATACGTAGATAGATTATATCTAAATGCTACGAATGCAGCAATGGTATGATAATTCAATGCAGAACATTTTTTTCTTGGCGTATTACCTTTACGCTTTCACTTGTACTTTGTTACCATTACTTTAAAAATGTTCAGATTTTTTTTTAATGTGCATTCAGATAAATTCTATAACAGAAGCGGTGACCCACTGAGTGATGGCGCGGTCTATGCTAAATAGCTGCAGCAAAATAGTGACATGAGCGGGCATCGTTGGCTTTAACTCAGATGAGCGTGTAGACCAGTGCAGTGATATATTTACCATTCCAATTCTTAATATCACCAAGTCTACCGACCTTCTGTTCCGTTCCTTCAAATCGCTTTCTGGTTGGCACGGTACGATCTAGGTGGCTTCTGCGGGTTTCGATGGCATCGTTTTCGCGTCGATGTCCGTAATCCCTAAGAAAAAATAACCTTTTCGGTTAGGTAATGGGCGACCTTGCCTTTGTATACCAACAGTGTCAGAAGGAAGCACCTGAGTATCGGCACCAATTCCACAAAGTGACCACCAAGCGCCACCATCTCGCTACAACAAACCAGAAAGTGGTACAGCCATTGCTACAACCTGCAACAGATCAACCAATCAAATCACCATGTTGCCACCATGTTGCCACCATGTTGCCAGAGTGTATGGTTTAAATTTGGAAAATACCGTGTTGAAAGTTGATCTATCCATTTGAAAAGTTATGATATTCAAAAACTTAAGCACATTCTTAAGTCATCCTTTTTTTTAGCAACTCGCTAATTCAGATCAGAAGAACATCAGCAAATGCTGATCTTTTAAAACTTCCTGGCTGTCTACCCGAGCAAAGTCTGTTAACAAAATGAAAGCAAATCGATATTACAGTTTGCAGTTCCCATCATAATGAAAACTAATTTTGATTTCAATTTCCGCGACAGAAGTCTGATACCATATTGTGCTTTCATTATACAGTCAAGACTTTTTAAATAAAAACAACTTACCTTGAAGTTCTGCTGTTAACTTCTTGTTTAAAATTTAATTTAAGTTCATCTGTTGTTGAACTAACCATTATTGTTTATTTATTTTGTATAACACATTTTAGGTCGTTAGTGTTTTGCCCGGGATGAGATTTGAGCTCAAGTCTTTCAGCGTGAGAAGCATGGATGCTAACCATTTACACCAGGCCCGTATACAGTTAAACAACATGAATGCAAAATCAGTAATCAAATTGATTTAATTGATAGCAGGATTAATTTTCCGTTTGATTCAACAGTGTAACATTGTGGTCTCATTTTTTCTGTGTTAACCGTTAAGTCAACCAAAATGAGATCAACTGGAGTATTCAAAATAAGTTACATCATAACAGCAAATTTTGAATTCAATTTGATCTTCAGCTTTGCTCGGGTAGGGAGTATATCTGAAAGAATATCCTGTTACTTATGCAACGTTTCCTGAACATCTACAAAATTTCCTTAAGTTTTAAAAAAATTACTCAAATTTCAAAGTAACTTGAAATTAAACGATGGTCCAAAACCTTCATCTTCATTGAGATTTTTAAGATCTCTGACAAACTGCTATGAAGTTCCCTAAACTGAAACGATGATCCCTGAAGTTTTCTATATTTACGGAATTCCCTGAACTTTTTCAAAATGCCCTGTACTTCTATGAAGTTATACGCAGTTCCTCGAATTATTACGCAGTCTACAAAACATCATCAAAGCTTGCTTCACTTTTACGTTTCTCGTTGATTTTCCGCAAAGTTCGAGGCACGAAATTTCCTGAATTTGTACGGAATTCTCTGAACTATTTCAAGTCCATGAGGTTTCATCAAAGCTCTTAAGTTATAAAAAAGGTCCCTGAATAATAAAGAGGTTCCCTGCCATTAAACAATAAACTTCTACGAAGATACCTAAACTTGTATAAAGTTCCCAATTCTACGAAGTTTTCTGAAATTTTCCATGATCTCAGAACTTCAAATAATTTCACTAAATTTAGCTCATGATTCATCTGACATATGTTAGTCTTAATGCATAAAACAAAATATAATAATAATACCAAAGAAACATTCAAAATCAGGACAGTGTTCTAGTGAAAACAGTTAACGGAACATTAGAGTCAAACGAAGCATAAGTGTTACTAATCAACGAGGTGTATGAAGTGTCGTTGTCTTATAACTTTTTCAGGTACGTAGAAGAAGAGTTATCGAAGCAGTTCGATGAAACTCTACGAAGTTCACTGAAGTTTGGTGAGCTTCTACAAAGTTAGCTGAACTTTAAAGAAAAATCTGCACTTCAAGAAAGTTTCCTGAACTTTTAAAAAGTTCTCTGAAGTACCACGAAGTTTCTTGAACTACAAAATTCCTTGCAACTTGGTGTAGTGACTGTAGGTGCATTGTCAGACAGCACCAGCAAATCAACAAAGGAAGTGGTAGAGGTGCTGCATGAAGAGGTGGTGATAATGGACGTGTCATCAGGAGGCCGATAAAGCATGCAAAAACGAACATCAGCATCCTCGGCAGAAAGGGTTTTTCGGAGATTCGATGCGTTGCAAGTACAAAAAAATATAGGAATATTTGTTTAGTCCTTCGGGTCCGCAGAGCTTTCAAAGATATTGAACCTACTAAATAAACATTTTGGAAAACATGGTTTTCGATTCAGATACTGACCGTTGAGTGTGACAAATATGT